AGAGTATTTGCATGTATGCTCACTCTGGTGCTTTGTGGAATACACTTCAAAGAATTATTGTTTTTTTCATAGTTTTGCTTATTCAATAAAGCCAAAATATTAAGCAAAGGAATTACTTGTTTTCTTTACAAAAGTACTTGTGCATACATCTGTTGGTTTGAGATAGACTTGCAACATAATACAGAAGGAAATCTAAAAGCTATTTGAATTGTTTTACGATGGTTTGCTCGTAGAAGTAGTATACAGTACACGTTTGGTATTTGGTTGTTCTAAGCAAGTCATTCTACAAGCATTTTGTTTACTAATAATCCACCATTGTTGGTATGCAGTACATTTCTGGTGTTGATGATAATACGTGACAGGACTTATCGAAGAAATCACGATGAAATTCTTGAAATAATGATACAGGATGCCATATGTGCTGGTTTTATTATTAATAACAAATCTTTTTAGCGATGTTGAAAGAATGCTAAATTTTCCCCGAATGTTTTGGATATTGTGTCGCAGATACTTTTGATAAACAAACTATAAATCAACAAACAACTGTCGAAACTGCGTATTACCTTTAACCCGTTAAACGTAGTACAAATTGATTTAAGAAAAGAAATTGACGAAAAGAAAATCTCATTTCTATCAGATTTGTACTATTTTTTTTACTTATATATTTTAGAGAAAAATGACACCATAATTGGCATAATCATGTTTTATTAATTTTGAAGCTAACGTAAAAATTAATTACATGACATATTTGTCATTTAATAATTTTCAACTTCAGATTTTAAATTAGTAAAAACCCCATTGTACAAAACTACATTCGTTAAAATGAATCAAAATTTAAAAAGACGTTTTGAGTAAATTGTTTTTATCAATTGTCACTTGATTTTTTGCATTGAAAAAATTAAACAATTGTCATGACCCAAAGTTTAATATGCCACGTATTATGATCGTAATTAAGAACCAAAGAGAACAGAGTTCAATCACCTCACATCCATTTAGTTCTTTCATGAAAAATAAGATATAAACTTCGAAAAATGTGCTTAAAATATTTACACAATGCGAAACATATTCTTAAGCATATGAACATTAATGAAATCCATTCACATCAGTTCATCAAAAACCTTAATTATTTTTACACAACATTTGAACAAGCTTTAATTATTTGTGCATTCACTTAATTCTGACTGGTGTCAAATCTTACTTAAAATAGGGAAGTACTTTTAATGTTCTTACTGTATTATACAATATGTGTTTTACAATAATATACCACTTAAAACTATAATATGGTTTAAAAAAGTCTTCACTTTAATTATTATTATTTAATTTTATCATGCTGTACTTTACCTGTTGAAGAATCAAAAGTCAAAACAGAATTTAGAAAGCGGACATCAAAAGAATAATACGAATTAAAAATTACATATCGTTTCAAATATCTCGGTAAATTAATAATGGGAAGTCATTAATCCATCATATATATGCATCTAATCAATAAAAAATAATGATTTATTTTATATCTTTGCAAAGAAGATAAAAAAGCACATCCCTTTAAGTTTACACTTTTGGTTGAGTCAAGGTCATAACTAGAGGTAAGATAATTGAATAAAAGTTAATGGAACTTCGCAGTCTGACAGATTCGTAAATATTTTATATGGAATTTTTTTTTTCTGCTTCATCATTTTAACGTTTTGGAAATTCGTACATTTTTCATAGACATAACAGTCAGGGTATTTGATTTCAAACCAATGAAAAAAGCCTTTGAAGAATGTCAAAGTTAGAATCAATTTTTGTCACAATTTATTAAATAAAGATTGTCCCATTAAAGAATTTTTTTCCTGTTTGATAAAGAATTTTCCATTTCTACATGTTAGTTTGCTTCTTCTGTGTTAAGGACAGATGATACAAACAATTTTTTTCTTTGAAAAAGATTTAATACCATGTCACAAGTTTAGAAAAATGGGTGGTTCTTAGAATTTTTCTCTGAAGAACTGGAAAATAAAATAGACTTGGAAAATATTAGTAATATTTCAATAAAAAAACAAATATAGACAAATCACATTCAGTAAAGGTTTATAGGTGAAAACAAATTTCAGAATATGTTAACTTGGTGCTAAAAGTGTAATATAAACTTAAGAAAAATATACCAAGCCAGGTGAATTGTATTAGGAAAAGCTAAATGGTAAAAATCAGCCTATGTGATATTGCTAATTTTTTGTCATTTTGATCTTCCTCTTAAAATTCATCTGGCTTGGTATATTTTTCTTAAGTTTATATTACACTTTGAGCGCCATGGATACATATTCTGAAAATTGTTTTCACCTGTAAAGCTTTACTGAATGTGATTTGTCTATATTTGTTTTTTCAATGAAATATTACTAATATTTTCCAAGATTTTTCCATATTCCAGTTCTTAGGAGAAAAAATCCTAAGAACCATCCCCTTTTCTAAACTTGTGACATGATATTAAATCTTTTTCATAGAAAAAAAGTGTTTGTATCATCTGTCCTTAAGCCACTATTGACGCAAAGGCTGATATATTGGGAAAAACCGACTTTGATATGCCAAAATACTTAATGATATCAAAACTATGGTCATTAATTTTTATAAATTAAGATATAACATGCTACATATGATCTGTGATTATGTGACGTCATCTTCATTCATCTTTTTTCCACCTTTTTTTTTTTTTTTTTAAGATCTCCCTAAGTTAACAATTAAGCATAACATGTTTTCTAAGTGATTAATCCTTTTTAATGTCTTAAGAAACGCAAACACTCCAAAATTTCCTATATTTGAGATATTTGGAAGTTGTTAATCTTAATTCAAAAGTATCCACATAAATTTCCAAATATGGCAATGACTTTAGGACGAAAAGATTGATTAAAGTTTGAAATACGGAAATAATTATAATTTGTAGTGGGGAAAGTCTTAAACAGTTTCTTTAGTTAGGATTTCTTAGATGTTGTAAAAAAGGAAATATTTACCTCATATGAATAAATAAAAGTCAGTGAAATGAAAAGTGTTAAAAATACTTTATATGTTTAAATCTTTTCTGCATCACAAATTCCTCTGACGAATCTAATTAAAATTAGAACTAAAATTGCTCCTTACTTTAAGCATTTCTTCTGAAAATATTGTTTAAAATAAATTAGCTTGTGATGTAGAACAACTGTTAGAATGTTAACTTAGTAACGTTTCAGTTATTTAAACGTACATTTATAAATCAATGTCAATGAACTCATTGAATAACATATACTAGTATCTTCTTTATCAAAGCGCCCCGTGGGGATCCGGGTTAGAATAGGTCTTCAGTACCCCTTTGCTTGTCGTAAAAGGCGACTAAATGGGGCGGTCCTTCGGATGAGACCGTTTAAACCGAGGCCCCGTGTCACAGCAGGTGTGGCACGATAAAGATCCCTCCCTGTTCAAATGCCGTAAGTGCCGAGCATAGGCCTAAATTTGCAGCCCTTCACCGGCAATGGTGACGTCTCCATATCAGTGAAATATTCTGGAGAGGGACGTTAAACAGTATACAATCAATCAATTAATCTTTATCAAAGCCTAAACAATAATTCAACTACACTAACGACGCAAATTACTTACGTTTAAGTACTGTTTGATGTCTTTTCTGACGTCTTATAGATACTTGAATGTTGCTATAGGAAATTTAAAGCTGTGATTAAAATCATCCTGAGGTATTGAAAAAAAGTAACTACATTGTTGTAAAAGATATACTTTTTGATCACAGTGTGATTTACTGAGATTTAAGTACACTTAAAGCAGAGAGGTAGCTTTATATTTAGATACAATAAAACATTATGTGTTTGTTTGAAAAATTAATTTGCTACTGAAATGGAGGCTCTAATGGAAATTTAATGAAAGTTCGTGGGCTTAATCGTCAAATTATCATTATAAAAGCGGAAGGGGATGATAGCATTAAAGAAATAAGACGATCCAACAAAAGGGCATTAACGTCTAATGTTTTATGCAAAATAATCCCTTAGACATATATAATTTGTGTACAAGATATATTTGTGAACACCGGTGTGTTTGCCAACAATTAAAGTCATGGTTTTCTATCTGTTAACGCATCCTTTGAGTATGCAGTCAATGTACTTGATACTTTGGTTTGTACTTATCTCGGGGAATCATTCAAATAATATCCCCCAATATTTACTGAACGTATTTCCCCCTCGTTTTTACAAAAAACAAACATCTGATTAAATGGTTTAAATTAAATAATTCATTATATAATGTCGGATTTAACGAAATTCATTTAATTTTACAAATACAAAAAAAAACGATTAAGATTAATGATTGAAATAAAATATACAAAAAATTAGCAAATAAAAAATGAAATAATAATTACAGGTAATCTATACTTTCTTTACGTTTAAAATTTCTTGGGGTTTATACCCACAAATATTCTAATTAATGAATGAAATAAAATAAAAAAATTAGTAAATAAAAATTGAAATAATAATTACCATTAATCTATATTTCCTTTACATTTAAAATTTTTGGGGGATTAGACTCAGAAATATTCTGTGTTAACTTTAATTTACTTGAAAAAAAAGATTGTTTTTTATTTTACGTGATCATCTAAAAAATCATTGGTCTTGAAAAACGTGTACTTCACATTGAAAAAAAACAACAACAAAAGTACAGATAAATATCGCATTAAGAAACAACAACAAAATCCAAATAAATCAATTTAATATGCAAAATAAAAAGTTATCCTGACCATTAAACTCGGACAAGATATAACACTTAAGGAGATAAATCTTAAACTGGTGTTATGCAGACCCCGTGAGTTAGGTAAAAACCACTTTAGATGTGTGTTAATTATGTCGTTCATTCAAAGAAGCAAATTCCCAACCTGTCATGTTTGACCCTTCGTATGAATGGGAAAGGCCTAGTGTTATAATATTTACCGCTGATTGGCTCTCCAAGCACGTGCTGTCCTTCACCTGAATGTATATATATACACAACAAACAAAGTTTGTATCATTAAGAAAAAGTAACTCAAAGTGAGTGTTGCTTAATGTAATTATTATGTTGCACAAGATTATGATGCCTTCTGTATTGACTCTGCTGACTCTTATAAGCCTGAATAACTGTGCTGAAGGTTTAGGAATTTCCTTTCAAGATTCATGCAGAAGAAGCTTTCGTGGCGATCAAGACTGCTATTTCAAAGTAAGCGAACAATGGGACTTTATCAAATTCAGAAAATGGTTAGACAACCTTGAACCTTTGGGTAAGGTTTCTTTAGACATATCTTGTGTGGAGGGAGGATCTATTAACATTCCCTGGCCAATGAGGGCTCGCAATTTAGAAAGGGTAGTAATTAAAAACTGTCACATAAGAGGATACTTTGCAGAATACAACGTACCATCGAGGTATCCGGATTCGATTTTGTACAGACATGTCGAAAACTGTGTCACAGAAATCAACCTTCCAGAATGGTTCAAAATGATCAGAAACATGGAATTTGAAAAATCCTATACTTGTGGACAGGAATCTGTAAAAACATCTATCTGGCGAAATAATACCTACAGATTCATAAATGTTCCAAAAACTTCCGATGCTAAAATGCTTGATCTTATGTTTCAGATCAGTGACATTTTCAGAGAAAAGGTTCGATCTCAGTCTTTTCAATGCAATTACAAAAACCTTGAATACCTTGAAAATTCCAATAATCCGAGCCTTGGAAAACATTTCATGGAGGACTTAACACTAAATGCTTATTATCCAAAGCTGCAGACACTTATCTTTAGTTCAAACAAAATATCAAAGATGCCTACAGAATTAACGAAGTGGTATACCAGTTTTCCTAATTTAGAGTATCTTGATATGTCTAATAATAAGTTGAAATCATTTTCTTTTGATGTACCACACCTATCTAGAAGACAAAGAAGGTTACATGTTAACTTGAGGAACAACAATATCCATAGCCCGCCAAAAAACTTTTATCAATATCCATTCCGATCTGTACCGTTATCGATAGATTTAAGAGGAAATCCTATCCGTTAAAAACACACCAGTATCAAATATGAAGAGTTTTTAAAGCCAGTCTGCATGAAGCCCCTTACCAAATCAGTGACCTCCAAAAAAGTGTGGGAATGAGCAAGTCGCTGTGAAAGACAAAAGGACTGTCTTGAAAATCCAGATTCTTTAGCATTAGATTTCGTAATGAGTTTATGCTTCTTTTTGGTTTCCATGTATATCCAAGCAGCATTTGTCTGAGACTTGAGTGGGAAGGAAAAAAAAAAACATTATTTGATGTTTACATATAGACTATTATATTATCTTTAAACTCTACTCACCAGTTAACATTCAAAAGAAATCACTCATTTCATTAATTGTTCCCTGTCTTCTTAATTTATTGTTTGTCAACTCTTTTTTTTGTTTGTTTTTTTTGTTCCTTTTATATTTGTAATAAACACTTTTACAGTTTTACAGCTGTATTTTTGTGAACGTATGTTGCATAAAAAGAAAAGATAATTATCAAGGATAATGCTACTAATCGCCATGAATTTGCCGATGAAGAACTGATTTTTGCATTTTGGGGAAATTAAAATATTCATTCATTCGTACCATGGATGTATGCTCCATGTATGTAAAGTTTCTTTAGGAATAAAACAGCTAATTTTTTAAGAAATATTTCTGATAGAAAAAGCTTCAGTAATATACTTTATGTTGGATCGTTTCTTAGACGATAAGAGGCATGTTATTGTTAATGTAAGGTGTAAAACAAAAACAGTGTGTCGAACGTCATGATCTACTGGCGGCTGTATGAAAATCAATGTGAATTCCTGTACATAAAATATGTTTTGACATCATTGTCAATAAAACTATCATCACACCATGTAGTTTTTAACATGTTAATCAGCAAACATTATATCAATATCGTCATTGGCGAACTTTTGAAACGACCGCAATCACGCTAAAGCCTTAGCCGAATTAATTGTACAAATCAGAAAGCAAAATAAATGGTCATGTTTAAGAAACATTACAGTTCATTCCCTTTTTATTATATTTTCTGGAATAACAACAATATACAGATCGCGACAGCTTTGCTAATCATATGCACCTGCGGTTGTATACCGAGAAACTTGACACTTTGAAATGGACTTTTATGGTGGAGCCAAGGTGGTGGATGGCGAGTTGCAACTTAAGAGAGTTAGACGTTTTTTCTCCTATAAAATTGTATGTTGCAAGAAAAACCATACTAAAAATGACGTTATTGCAACAATGGTGATAATTATATGACAAATTTGAGAATTGACCTTGTACACCTATATTTTAGTAATAACAATCGAATATGGAATAGCTTTCGGTTAACTGTAAGACGTTCTGATAAATTGATTATTTCTGGAGTTTCTCGTGACAACATTTATAGATTGATGAAATTCCGATTGGCGCAAATTATGTTTCTTTATTACCTGTCCTCAATTTCCCATGAAACAAAGTTTATTCAAAAACTGAATGAGAAAAAGAAAATACTTGCTGTGGCCTTCACCTATTTACATACAACGATGTATTATCAATAAACAATAGTTAGGTTTATTCATAATTCGATTCATTACAGTGATCTACAAATAAAAGACACCACAGGGTCTGCCATATCTGTTTAATATATATTTGGATGTTTTAATGACTATACGATAAGGGCACATATAACAAGTGAATTATAGGAAACAACATGGCTTCATTTTATCTCCATTTTACTTACCCGACTATTACATAAAGTTGGTTTGCGTACATTTTCCAACCTATTCGTTACTCAGAAGCACGTTCCGAGTACGATTTCTTTTCAAACTGAGGCAGGCTACTGGCAGATAAGTTGATGTTACAGGGAATTTAACATCTCTGCTAAAAAATTTGCACTGTCATAATAATGACCTTGTAAGCAAATAACAAGTTTAACTTCTACTGGCTTTTGACTGACGTTTTCATTCAAATCGTCAGACCATTATATACAAACTTAATCATCAACGGATTTTCCCTTGTTTCTCGATCATGACAAGGAGCACACGGTGGGTGTGACTGGTAGGCATGGAATGCTCACTCCTCCATGACACCTTATCTCACCTCTGATGTTTTTGAGGGTCGTGTTTACTTTGCTCCTATTTTGTATTGCTTAATGGACTTTGAGTTTGAATACTGTTCATTACTCCACGTATTTCATTGATACACGCCAATTATTAGACCTTTGTTTTAATGCTGAATTTCATCACGGAATTTTTCATTTGGTCAATTCATAGTGCTCACAGTGTGACCAGTTAAAATGAGATACTTCTTCCTACGCATCTGATCCCAGTTCTGGAATATGAAGGGTTCCGTGCTATATACCCTCTTCACAGATCTGAATTGTTAAGAGATATTTTGCGATCGGTTACTGTTTGTAATATTTACTTCTGTCATTAATCGTATCGAAATTTCTCTCATATTTCATCATTGTATGCTTACTCAAAAACTAGACAATTAAGATGATACATATGGTAAAAGAATATTTATATTGACCTTTGATATTTTTATTTGATTTTAATAGACGAGAAGAAATTAAGAAATCTATTAAAACATGACTGAAGTTTCAATAAAAAAGTGGAGTTGTCACGCAGGTTCATTCTTCTTTGTCGCTTAAATCAAAACAAAGTGTAAACTATCTCTTAATTTGCAATGCTTTTTAATAAAACATCAATTTTAGTTTTAAAAACATCACCAAAGCTGACTAGATACTCCCATGATATCGACCCGGAATCCAAGAGCCTTTACCATTGCCAAATCAGCTAAAATAATTAGGTGAATATGCTTTCACTTCATATATTTTTTTTAATTTTCTAATATAAATTTTCAAAAGAACTGTGTTATATTTGTTCCGACTTTTAAAACCTTTTTTTCTATTCACATGAACATGTGAAGCAGAATTTGTCAAAATCTTATAGGTGAAAACAAGAAAACACTAGCTGTGGCCCTAAACTCGACATTTAGATATACCGACGACGTTTTGTCAATTAACAATGGTTATTTCCATTCTTATATCGATACGATATATCCAAGTTGGCTAAAAATAAGAGATACCAGAGAGTCTGGCATACTCAGTGTTTGTCTCATATTTAGAGATGTTTCTTGAAAAGACGAGAATGGTTATCTAACAACCAAGCTTTACGATATACGTGCTGACTTTATCTTTTCAATTGTCAACTTCCCTTACTTATCGCCCATATACCTGCGTGCGTGATTTATAACTTTCTGTTAAATCGGTACACAAGAGCATGCGTTACCTTTAAACAATTAAAAAAAAAACTAGTTAAAGTATTGACAAACAAATTAATAGAGCAAACCTATCAGCAGTCTCGTTTAAAGTCATGATTTCGTAAGATCTATGGTCGATACAATGTTCTAATAAAATCTATCCTTAAGTCATATGCTGATTGACGTTTTTTGTACCAATTCTTAGGCCATTATTTACACACTGAATTGTTGACGGATGTTTTCGTTATTTCTCGATTATTGCAAGGAGTCAAGGGTGTGACCGGTCGGCAGGGAATGCTCACTCCTCCATGGCTCCTGATCCCACCTCTGATGTTTTGGAGGTCCGTGTGTGCTCCACACCTGTTTGTATTGTTTTATGGATTTCTGGGATTGATTATGTTCGTTATCTCCATATATTTCATTTTAATGATTGAATGAACGTTTATAATTTAGGTCCAAATGATATTTTAAAAATATTAAAAAAAATAATTTTTGTGAAATAAATTCTTCATCTACTATTATTTGAATCAGAAAAAAATCAAAATTCTTTCACTGGTATTTAAAGGATTAATTTGTTTTCTTTAATGCATTAAATGAACTGAGTATTCTAATGTTGAAAATTTTAATAATAAATTGTTCTAAATATGTTTATCCATAATTGACAATGTTTATAAACAGTTCAGACAAACTCAAGTCATCTCCAACTTCTGTCTGAGTTTTTCTAAGATTTTGGATTTTAGCACGCTTTTAGTTAAGGTTTTAGGTTTAAGACTGTACTTTAATCCTTCTTAAGCATGGTCTTAGACTCATATACACTTAATGCTATAAACCCATGCCATGTGAATTTCATGGCATCTCGTTCAGAAGTTCTTGTTAAGGCTTGGGCTTTGAAAAATCTGAAAATGTTTAACAATTAGTATGTTAACGTCAGTCAGTATTTGACTCCAAGAAAAATTGTATATGCTGACAAGGTCATTGCATCGACTACATAACTTACGAAATGATGAATTCAAACGAGACAACTGATATTCTTGTTTCTTCAACTTGTTCGTCACTAAAATATCTCGTTTTAGAAATTGTAGAAACTTAGTGCGTGCTCTTTCATATCGAATCAACTGAGAGATATAAACCCCGTTTGTAGGTGATGAAGGTATATTATTGCATAAGTAAGGGAAGTTGACGATTGAAAAGCTATTAAGTCATCACGTTTACGATAAAGTTTAGTTGTTAGATTAAAATTAACGTCTTTTTCAAATGAAATGTCCAAATATGAAATAGATGCATCAGACTTAATTGTAAGCAGCTATCTTGGACTTATAGGTTTACACTATAAAATATAAGACAAAATAAAATGAGAGAGGGAGAAAAAGAGCTGTTGACAATTTGGAGACATGCAAAAACACTTCTTTTTGATCCTTGATTGATAAATAAGTACATATTATAGAACATATACAGCTTTGATCGCTGACATTGAGTGGATTACAAATGTCCCTATTGTTTTGTATGATTATTAGATTTTTAATTTTGGGTAAATAGACGTTCGTTTACCGTGTCTTGTCTGCAATAATGTTAAAGCGAGTGAATATTTTTCAAAACAATAGAAAAACAACAAAAGGTAGCTGAAAACATCGCAGTCTCGAGTGTAAACAAAAGTCACGCATTAATGTTGAGACTTGCCACCTTCTGAAGGTACTTTTTTCTTTAGTATTAAGCATATTTTAAAAGATTTATGCTTTAAATACGAAATATTACTCTTTTAAACTAATACTGAGAAGAAGGGACATCAGCTTAAGTGGATCTAAAGCGTAAATGAATCATTTTAGCAATATTTGAAAATAAATTGAAGAACTAGGGGGTTATTCATGAAAATATGAGGGTTGTCCCAAAAAGTCGTAAACAATGTTTATAACTTTGTTATCATGCAACCAATGCTAACCAAATTTTGCATAGACGTAACATTTTTAATGTTCTTTACAACTGTGAATTCTTAAATATCTATCTTTTATATCAATAATATTGGGGCGATTTATATGAAGTCCAGGGTTAGGTCTGTCGGCGCACGAACAAAATCTAGAATAATTCACTCATATCACTATTACATTTGCTTTTATTTCTCTGTTACTATTTGAAACATTAAACTCAATTTCATATCAGTGAAACCAGAAACAAAATCTTCATAACATATATTTTCATATAAATAGCAATAAAAACAGACAATTGGTGTCATGGTTTTCAAGGTGTTGTCGAAATTGAATTTGATGAAAATGACGTCGTCAAACGCGTAACCGGCGCACGGGGATGTAATAAATTCTTTTGGATATGGACGGGAAAGAAGAGTACAGAAGTCACATTACACACTAGATTGCTATAGAAAAGTTGTTTTTATATGGTATGAGATTCAAT